CAGTCTATAAAGAGCTGTTGGACAGCATTGTCCAATATGACACATTTTACTTCTGATCTTCATCAACTTTAAAATATTTCAGAGTATCTTAAGAAGTTTCTCTCTGTTCCATCTTTTCCAAACATGCTGATATCTACTCCAACCCCTTAGCTCCAGGACCACAAACCGATAAGTAAGTAAAACATTCAAGTCCAAAGGCTCAGTAGCTTTTGAGTTTTCTCCCAGTCACTTCTTGGCTCTGTTTCAGGCATGTCCTGCTGGACATTTAAAAGCTGATGCACAGAAATCCTCTATATTCTGACCTTGGCTTTCGTTTTTTAATTTCCATTAGCTAATTATTTGTGTGAGACCAATTGATAGCACCCATTTCTATGAAGGGAATACAAAGGAGCCACAACAGGGCCACACTGAAATATGGGTTTATTGGGAATCTGCCCTAGACAGGGAAAGTTGGGACTGGAAGCAAAGATATCCTTTTATATTTCCTGGTTATCAACAAGACAGCCCTTTGGCTACTTCCTAAACAGGGGGCAAAATGCTCTACTTACATAAGCTGAGCAAGAGATCACAGATTTTAATGACACTGAACCAAATATATTGATATAAAGAACTTCGTTTTTCAAGTCTCATTTCCTCAGTTTAGGAGCTCAGTTTTCCAGCTCTCATTTCTGCCTTGAAATAAAAGAACATTTTTATGCAAGGACAGAATTCTTCTCTAGTTAAGTAACAAATTTCTGTCAAACCTCAAGAACACATGGCGCTTTCATGCTTTCATAGGACCCAGCATTTAAATCCAAATTTGGTTTGTAGTTATAAAATCTTGATTAGGACTATATAATTTGGTCGATGCTAAAGCCTTTAGTGGTTGTGAGCAGCAATCAGAGCTTTACTAAAACAAATCTCTGGTTATGGTACTGAGCAGTTGGCCAAGCCATCCTAGGCCTGCCAGCTCGGTGATGAGGGCTGGCTTGAACACTTATCCTTTAAATAAGAAAAATAAATTTCACACAGATTTATTTAGAAAGAAGCTCTTTGACTTGACAATGCTCTTAGCTGCATCATCTGCTACTCTTTACTATTTCTTGCTCGAGATGACAAAGAAAACTTGATACAACTGATACTTCACACTGAAAGGTGGAATGAAGATATAGAAGTGAGAAACAATACAGTTCCCATGAGGAATGAAAATGAGAAGTGAAAATGTAAAGTATGTGTTAAACAACTCTGGGGAAAGGAGTTTTTGGTTTTTTTGGAAGTGTTATTAGAAGGATTCTAATGGAACCAGTAAGGTCCAGAAAAGGAGTTACTGCTCTTTATATTTCTACCCATCAGTCCAAGAGGAAAAAAAGGTTTCCATATTTATGGGCATCTGAGGATCGCTGTTTGTGTTTGGTGTTTTGGTTGGGGTTTTAGGTTTTAAGGTAGAACACAATTAGGCTGTTTGGAGTATCAGATCCTAGACACAGACACCACAAATGCACATTCCATACTCATTCTCACCCACACACCTGCATTTAGAGCACACAGTTTAAAACCTGGAGCATTACTCTGGAGCAGCATCCCTGTTATCCTACCATTCTACAGTGAAGACACTACTGAAATACACTCTTTCTCCACAGGGATAGTCTTATTTTTTTCCAGGAATGCAGCCAAATAAAGATGGTTCTTCTATAGACTTTTTTCTTTGTTAATCATCCCTAAATTTCATATAGCTGAGTGCTCTGTTTTTCATTTTTTTAAACAAACTTAATCCATAGTTTACCTAAAAAATATTATCAATCTGTTTCAAATCATGCTAGCAAGGGAATTTATCAGCTTTCTTCAAAAAATGAGCCATAAATCAATGGCTTTTTTTGTCAACAATATAAATCCAGTGATCAACTTCCTCCAGAAGAACAAAGGCGACTTTCTGCTCCCTTTTCTACAACACAGGGGCCAGACTTTACACTCTAAAAAAAAAAAAAACACCACACTGCAACAAACTGTAATCACTAAAGGCTAATTTTGCCAATAAATGTCTTCTAGTGCAGATCTGCATTAACACACTTTGTCTGCAATGCTCATCATCAGTTCTGGAAAACAAGACCCTCTAAAACATCCTGCCTTAAACAGTAAAGAGCTGGCAAACAAAACTTTTCCCTAAGATGAAGTATAAAAATAATTTCCCTCTGAGTTCCTGTTGGTAGTTATTAAAAGCTGTCTTAGAATTATTTTAATTTTTACAAGTGTGCCAACAAACATTTTTTAATTAACATCATGCTTCATAGAAGTCTAAAATGATGATTTTTTTTTTTTTTTTTTTAAATGCAACAAGTCCTCAAAGCCTAGGCTTGGATGCAAAGTTATAATTGCAGGGACTGAAAATGCAGATACAGAAGCATACCCAAGGACTCATCACAGAGGTTATTCATGCAGATCAGAAATTACTACCTCAGTTGAAGCAAAGACTGGATGCAAATATCTGAATATTGATATCAATTTTGTGCGCTCTAGTTTGATTTTTAACAAGCCAGATCTCTCCCATCCCTTTTCATACAGGGAAACCCAGGTAAAATACCTTCAAAATGAAGAAAATATACTAGCAAGTGTGTTCCTTTGAGTTCCTGGCAACCCCTGGCAGTAGGGTGAGGACAGGCAGACAGTGGCAGTAACACAGAAAACCAGCACAGCAAGATTTACAGGAGAGGTCACCTCTCCAAGGCCTCACTCTCTTTTAAATATGTGGGTTTCTGGTTACCTTCCTTCACCTTCTCCTTCACATGAGGAGAGAAGATGATGAAGAAAGAAAGCAACATTTTGAGCTGTGCAATAAAATGAAACCTTTACAATTTCAGCATCTACCCAACACCGAAATATCCCAGCACTGGACTGGAAACCAGCATAGCATGAAGCATACACGACAAATCCCAAACAAACTCTGCAAAGTTTTGTGATGGAAACTTTGAAAATTAATTATCAATGAGATTAAAACAAAACAAAAAACCCCACATTTTCATCAGGACAACCTGTGCAATACTGCTGCGATCTTTCGCTGGCTTAATTATCTTTGAGTAATCAAAAAATATCTTCTGGTTTGTTTACTATCCTAGCTGTGACCAGAATTTAGGGATGTACTTGCAATCAGAACATCTTCTGACAAACAGAGCCTCCTCAGGTGCAGAAAGATTAAATACACCCTTTATGTCTCTGTGCCAGCATCACAGCAGTCTGCAGATTCCATATCAGTGTAACACTTGCCTACACATCACCCATAAAACCTAGAAATTAACTCCTTAGTACCCGAGCCAGCCTATACAGCAAACCATTGGCTGAGTGCCCCAATCTTCCACCTGCAAAATTTTAGTATGAGCAAAGGAGCAGCAGAAAGATATTCAACCAGGCACAGTCTGCTCAAGGGAGAGATGGCATCAAGCAGGAAAAAGTATGAAGCAAAGCCTTATTTGCATTATTTTGGGAATTTACATCCAAAGGGCCATTTTATACAATATTAACTTGCATGCAAACTAAAAACCCTTCACTATACGAGTGAATTCGCAAAGAAATTCTGAATTTTTTTGGGGTTTTAAAATTTTTTTTCCCCAAATGAAAGGTACTGTAACTGTCCATTTCCCTTTTCTTATACTCTTGTATAACATCTGCCACTCTGCAGAAGTACTACCAGTTCCCATGAATTTTTTGTTACACTGTGCAGATGGAAGTCCTGTACTGCAATTGCTTTTGTGCTTGACACGCTCAGACACAGGCTTCCAACTTCCAAAGAAACAGAAGGAGTAGGTCCATAAAGAAAGTATGTGCTTCCTGCAAAGGGCTGGCATGAAAAAAATAAGGTTTTTTACAACCCAAAAGTTTTACAAGAGTTTAACAATTAAGGTAACTCTATACAGTCACTTGATTTAAAACTTGTCCTGAACAGCAAGTAATTAGTTACAACTTCTAGGAGATGCTTTAAGTTCCCTTTGTGATGAACAATACACCTAGAAGTGAGAAAAGCCAGTTAATTTTGATAATACTGCTCATGAAGAGAGCTGATCAAGTTGTCTAAAGAGTAATTTTTTGGGAACTGTAACTACGATCATGAAGTCTTTCCCATGAGGACAACAGGGCTGTACAAATTTTAAAACAAACAAACCGACCTAACAACACAAGAAAACAGCAGTACAAGTATACAATACTGCATTTTCAAGTAGTACTTGGTTAAGAATCTGGATCTGTCTTTTCTTTTTTCTAAGACAACTAAAATTGAAAAAAATTAAAGTAAGTTGTAGTGTATGAATGTGAGCAATGAGAAGCTCGAAGCTCAAAATGTGTAGTAGGAGATGGCCTGTAAGAAGAATCCAGACAGTTCATATTTTAATGCCTTCTCAGATGAAAATAGGACAGTAAAACATCTCATTTTTACTACGTGGGACATTGCCAAGAAAATGCATTCTTCATGACTACATATTTGCACTAGTTTATACAATTCTCAATATTTCCTTTTCAAGTAGGCACTCATGTTTTCAGCATGATGGATACATTTAATAAATATACATACCAACACAGAAAAGACTAGCAGTCTGGTACTTAAATCAACTTGATCATGAAATCCTAATGTATGCTACTTTAGATCAAGTACATTTGACAATTTAACTCTGATGAAAAACTGAACTTGTTGATAAAGATGACTTCTGTTCAAGTTTTGCTGCTAAATCATTTCTTTTCATTAATTACAATCTTATAAAACTGTATCTGAAATAAACATCAGTTGAGCATAATAAGAGATGGATTAGACTGCAGGAAAATGAGAAGGGTGAAAGTCTGATGTTCACAAACCATTATGAATGCAATTTTGGAAGTGCAAACCGCTTGCAAATCACACTGATAGAAAGTGAAGTAAATAATGCAAACTGGCTCAAAGATAACTTCAATAACAGTACCATCACCCAGCTAAAATCCTTCAACGAACAAGAAATAGCACAAACTTCGATATTTGTAACTACTTTGCGTTAACAGAGACTTACCCTCTTCCAGGATCCAAGGCAATTGCTCGGGGTTGATCCAACTCTTGCCAAAACAAAACTTTCCTCAGCGATCCGTCCAAGTTAGAAACCTCAATCCGATTTGTCTCCGAATCCGTCCAGTACAGCTTCTCTCCCAGCCAGTCACACGCCAGCCCGTCGGGCGACAGCAGTCCGGAGATGACCACGTTTTGTACGCTCCCGGATTTATTGAACTCCGTCCGTTTGATGGCCTCCTCACTGACATCGCTCCAGTAGATCAAGCCCTTCACGAACACGAAGTCCACGGCCGCCGCGTCCTCCAGGCCGCCCACGATCACCGTGGCGTTCTCCCTGCCGTTGGCGGCGTCCACCAGGCGCAGGTCCCGGCGGTTCGCGTACAGCAGCAGCGGGGCGGCTTCACGCACCACAGACAAGGGGGACACAGACACGGGCATTAACGTCACTCAGGGTAACTGCAACCTGCACTAACCTAAGAATGTTTTTTAAACAGTAAGAAACCGTGGGGAGAACGTTTAAAAGTTTGACTAAAAAGCGCTGGCTTAAAGCTTCTCAACTTTGTTAACAAGCCAAGATCGTGCCTTCATAACACTGTTCTGGGCTGTGCATTATTGAAATAGCAATAAAGGAGAAGGCAGAGAAGAAAAAAAATGGGGGTTTGAAGTACCCAAATGACACTGTTCTGTACGGAAGGACAAGAGTAAAGCAGTTTTCTGAGCACTCAGTGCTGGCCCACCTAAGCAGTGATTATTTTTCTTTATAGAATTTAGTAATATACACACCGCTTCAGTAACAGCATAATTAACGTCAAGCTTTCAGAGCCACCTGCATGTTGATACCCCCCAAAATTATATCTCTCAGACATTTTACATATAACACAAAATATCCAAAATTCATTGCACAGAATGAGACAAATGTTGGTTCAGAGTGTCAGAAGTGGTATGAGGGGGTAGGGAGAAAAATAACTTTACAGGTATGGACAACACTGAGTTCTTTCAAACTCAGCTCTACCCCTCCTGTTTAGTTCTCTAACACAATGCCTTTATTTTATAGGCTTTACTTGCTTACTCTGTCAGTTTTCACAGTATATTTTTCATAACAACACCTAAGATGACTAATGTAAAGCAGCAGCCATGAAAACTGGTAGTTTCTCAAACGTAATATGCCTGCTTAATTGTCCTTAATCACAAGCTACGTACAGCATGATGCAAATTCCAGCCTCATTCCTTCTTCAACAGAAGCTTACAAAAGATACCACATTTGTATAAGGCAGTCACGTCCTTTTAAACTGACTGTCAGAAAACATTTCAGCCTTCCCCTGCCTTCACTCAGACTGCACAGAGGCATTTAGAGACATCCTGGGAGTGTCATACCAAAGGCTCCTCTGCCTGTCACCACACAAACGTCACCAGGCACTCGCAGATTTATTCATCAGCAGAGATGGGCACTTTAAACTGGGAGAAGGATGCATGCATGTCCTAACCAAAAGGGTTTCATTTACAGAGCCAAAGATGTGCACAGTTCTGTAATGTCAAGGCCACGCTGCCACAAGAGATACAGTTCCTTATATGAGAAACTTGCACTGAAGTTAGAAATATTAACACAGACTAAATTCAAGGGCTAGTTTTGAAAATCAGACTACTCCCCTTTGTAGCACTAAACAATTTCCCAGAGACACTGTCACATGTGAATTGGGAGAAGCTGAAAGAACTAAAAAGTTCCTTCATCTACCTCCAATTAAACGAGTTCTGCTATACATGTTTGGGGGTGGGTGAGGATTTTGTTGGGTTTAGTGGGGTTTTTAAAAAATTAATTGCTTAGACTGTCATCCTAAATTTAGAAGCACTGAATATAAACTGATTTATGACAATCTGTAGACAGGAGGAGGGAGGAGTGAAACTTTGTTTGTTTTAATAATACCAAATTTGTATTTGTATTTTCCCTCTCCAGAAAGCAATTTTTAATTGTGCAAAACCCCATTCAATTTAGAGATCATCTTTCCATAGAGAAGTAGTCAACTTTTTTTAAATTAGAAGTGGAATCTTTCTGTTAAGGTTTATTATTACCTTACTTTGCTATCTCCTTCCCTTCCTTGCACAACTCAATGTCCTGCAGCTTTAAGTTATAATGGGTCAAAAAAAGATACAACTCAGAGTGGGTTTTTTTTAAGAAGCTGAACTCTTTACATGCTTTTATTCCTCTTTCTGTAGACATCATAAAAGCATATATTGTAAATGCAACAAGCTACAATACACTGAAAAGAAGCTACGCATTTCTGAAAGAGAAAACATTCACCTTGGAAATCAAAAACTGAAACAGTAGTGAATATTACCACGTCCTCCATCACCTGAGAGGTCTCCATGCAGTTTATTCTTTTAATTAAAGTACCCAATACAAAGTAAAAGCTATGCTTACTTATAAAATAAGGGTGTTTTTGTATCCACTAGCATGAACAAATGTTCCCTTAAAGAACAGTTACAAAACCTCAAGTTTAACACATTTCAACTGCAACAAAAATAATTTAAATCATAAGAAACTCCTGCCAGTAGTGATCACTGAGCCTATAACTGCTTAACTCAAATATTCACGTAAGACTTTTCCTAAGTTTACCCTATTCAATATTAAAGTTCAGACATTGCCTTTTTTGTCTTACCCTTACAACTAGAATTCTCACTGCCTTCTCACTGCCAAACTCCAGTTCTTGTACCACAGATTTCTCTTGGCTGCAATTCCTGTCACTCCCCCCAGCACACTGAAAGTTGCTAATCCCCAAGATCCTTAAGTCTGGTTTCCCTTACTCTTGTTTACGTCACTCTTGCTCTGTACATCTGACTTTTAGGCCTGCAGCACCTGCTACAGGCATAGAAATACTGCTGCCCATAGGATGCAAAGTGAGGAACCAACATAAAACAATCACTTCACCAGCTGAAAATGCGGGTTTTTTTAATCTTTTTGGTGTTTAAGTAGCAACTTTAAGCTGTCAGAATTTGTCATGCTTTTCTTTACCTAGTCCAGTGGCCTTTTCCACAAATTCCCACTTCCTCCTTTCCACCTTTAAAAATCCAGGACAGTTCTGGGGTGCCTCTCTTTTACTGACATGGAGTTTAGCCTGGTTAAAGCAATTAGCACATGTTCATTTTCCCCAAACTCTTTTTTTCTCATTCCCAACCCCCAGCAATGCTGCTCTACCCCCTCACTTAGTTAAGGGCCCCTCCTCAAGCTGATTCAAAGCATTATGTCAGTGAAAGGTTTGACTGGGTTAGCAAGTTGAATCAACTCAAGGAGTGGTCCAGCAAAATCCAAAACCAACACAAGGCGAGCAGCAGGGAGCTGGAAGGGGAGCAGCTCTCCCCCTTTCCACTGGCAGCCTGCTGGATCTGCTCAAGATGTGACTGCAGCCACGTCCCTGCTCCCAGCCTTCACTTCCAGCTGTTGGTTCTGCACTTCTCTTTCATATTGGCACTGGCACTTCTCCCACACCATCTCCTGGACTATCCCATTCTGTCACTCTTGCAGCGTGCCTGTATCCCAACGTTTTCCAGCTCCAGTTCACACAGAAACGTGCCAGGAGAAATCTTGTTCAGGTTCCTGCTCTGCACCTCTCTTTTTAGATCTTGCTGAAGAACTCTGAGCACCTGGAGGTGAATTAGCTCTGGCAAACACGCTGCCACGAGGATGGCAAACATGGAGAAAAGGGAAGACACTGAGGAGATGTACCAAGCAAATACACTCTGACCTGGATGAGGCACAACAAGGAAGGATTCCAGAGAAATAGGCACATACAAGCAGCAAAGAACATCAATTTAATCCTTAAACCCATTCAAAATACAAACCTCCCTGTCTGTAATACAATAACCATCCCCAAGATGTCCCACAGAGAACCAAGGTGAGAACATAATGAAAAATCTCTGGACTGACACATGGATTCTGGAACTGTCAGTTGTGAGGACTCTTCCTTCATTCCCCTGGTTTCAAATTTCTTCATCACTGCTCATGCCTGTAAGGAATTCTGTGTATTTGTTACCTGTGAGTGCAAGAATGACAAGGTTGAGGAAGCACTGGGAGTAAAGCCTGGGAGACTTATATTAAATAAGAAGAGAGATAATTTGAAAATTAAAATAAACTTTTCCCAGAAGTAGAGAGTCAGCCTCAAGAAACTTACAATGAGACAGTTTGTATTTTCAGCCAACCAACAAATTCACCAGCAAGTACATACGAGTTTTCAGGACAGCAAGCAACAGGCCAGGATTCTGCCCCAAGTTCTCCATTACAGCACTTCCCCAATTTATTCCACACAACACACAATTCCATACTTTTTTTTTCCTAATAACACTAATGAATTGATTTACCAGTGGCCCCCACTCCACTGTCACTACGAACAGAGAGCACTATTCTCTCTGAACCTCCTTTTTCTCACAAAAGTACCTGCAGGACACAGCAACCAACCAGGTGTTTAGTAAACAAGCCTGAGGAAGCCCAAACTTGGCAGAAAGGACCTTTTCTCCTCTTTTCAGCTAACCTTAAGTATATTCTCCATGTTAAGGACATCCAAGAGCTGTTCAGATGGCAACTCAAAAGGTCACAAGAACAGTCACACTTGCCAGTGAATAAGTAACCATCTCAACTGCAGAAGCAAAGACACTGAGCAGCAGCAACAACAGCATCTGCCCCAAGCTTTGCTGTGAGTTTTGCAGGCCAGATCACAGCTACAGAGAACCAAGACACACTGCAGGACTAGCTGGTACAAAAGTAATAAGTCATCCTTTAGCCTGCTTAATACAGGAAAAAAAAAAATGTTACTAAAGAGATAGAAGGATGGGGGCAAGAGAATGAGAGGGAAAAAAAATAAAATGGAGTGCAGGGAATGATAGAAATCCCAGGTCCAGGCATAAAAAGCCAACAGCCCTGTCAGATTAGAGCAAAAGTACGCATGAACTGAAGCACACCGTGGAGCTCTGGCCTATCACAAGCAAGTTTCTGAATGGAAAGCATCACCTGCCAAATCATCCTGGCACCTTCCAGGGCCAGCAGCAGACTCTGGAAAGCATGAAAAGCAGGAAAGCTCCTTAGGGATATGTAATCAAGTAATACCTTGACACACATAAATGTCTGCAGAACTTCAACACTACACTTCCTCAGGTGTCCTCCTAATCTTCCCTCAGCACTCTCCCAGTTTCTCAAGCAGCTGTCAGAGTAACACCCTGCAGATGAAGTCAGACCAGTTCCACACACATTGGCAATATTTCCCTAGTTCTGCTGGTGGATGTTTAAATCCACACAATCTGTTTACTGAAAAAGTTTGTCTCACCAGGTAAAAACCAAGTCAAACAAAAGAACTCGTTTTTTTCTGTTTCGTGGTTGGGATTTTGTGTTTGTTCAGATTTTGGAAGCGCTATC